CTGAGACTATGGCCCCTAGCTGCCCTTCAGGTCTGGAATTGAACCCACACCTGTGGTTTCCAGCCAAACAAAATACAGGCATATGAGTTGAACATTTACCTCAAGTAGATATACTCCTTGGAGAGAACAATCAGTAGATACACTGTCTTGGAGAGACAAGGTATATGCGAACCGCTGTATGGAAAGTGAATTTGCTCTGTAAACCTTCACCTAAATTAAAATTAAAATTAAAAAAAATTCTCAAACCTAAGTTAGGGCTGCAGACCCAAATGGAAATCACTGTGGCAAGCTAAATTCCAAAGCAGAACTAACCGACCCATCACCTGGTGCCCTACTTGATAGCTTACAACCTGTCCAAAGCAGTCCTCAGGTTTTCTGTGGCCTCCAGTAAGAACCTTCGTTCTGAATGCCATCCAGCTCACTAGCTGGCTGTGTATTTAACCCCTTACAGTTGGACTCCCCCAACTCCAGCAGTGCCCTAGTTGCATAAGCAGCACGATCCAGAAATGAAGTGCTTGTGTCAGAGATAATGTGAAACCCTTGGGATTTAAGCCTGAGGGCCAAAGGAAACCTGCCCAAGAGCTAAACCTTTAATTTCAAGAAAACATTTTCATTTTAGCCAAGGATAGCCATGTGTCACCAAGAAGACAAATTTAAATTAATTCTTCTTTAACATAATCTCTCTCTTTCTCTCTTTTGCTCACACATACACACACACACACATACACAAAAGCATAATCAAAGCAGAATGAGTAAACCTGCTGCCCTCGAGCAGATCTCACTCATGGTGACCCCATGTGTGTTTTTAATGACTGATTTTCCAGAAGCAGATCTCCAAGCCTTTCTTTTAAAGAACCTCTGGGTAGATTCGAATTCCCAACCCTTCAGTTAGCAGTTGAGCACGTTAACCTTTTGTACCACCCAGGGACTCCAAGAGGATGTTGTAGTTGCTAAACTCACTGCTGTGGAGTCAGATCTGACTCCCAGCGACCCCTCCTTGGGTTTCTGAGGCAGTATCACTACAAAAGTAGATTGTCCAATTTCCTTCTATGGAGTGGCTGGTGGTTTGAATTGCCAGCCTTCTAGTTAGCAGTCAAATACCTTAGGCACTATGCCACCAGAGGTGCCACCAACTCAGTTCTGATTCATGGCAACCTCAGGTGAAAGAGTAGAACTGTCCCATAGGGTTTTCTAGGCTGCTAACCAGAAAGCTGGCAGTTCAAACCCACCAGCCACTCCTCAGAAGGAAGATGGGGCAACCTATTTCCATAGCGATACTGCCTCGGAAACCCAAGGAGGGGTCGCTATGAGTCAGATCCTACTCAACAGCAAAGAGTTTGGGTTTTTTTTTTTTTTTTTGGAATCTTTATGGGAGCAAACTCAACTGCCCTCAAGTCAGATCTGACTCAAAGCAACCCCTCCTTGGGTTTCCGAGGCAGTATCACTACGGAAGTAGATTGCCCAACCTTCCTTCCGAGGAGTGGCTGGTGGTTATGGGAGCAGATCACCAAATCTTTCTCCCGCAAAGCACTGGCTAGATTCAAAGCACACCCTTTTGGTTAGCAACTTCACTATTACAAGGAGGAACAAAACCAGACCAAACCATCGCCATCAAGTCAATTCCGACTTATACTGACCCCACAGGACAGAGTTAACTGCCCCATAGGGTTTTCAAGGCTGCAAATCTTTACATCTTTCTGCCAGACTGGCTGATAGGTTCAATCCATGGACCTTTTGGTTAGCAGCCGAATGCCTTAACCAGTGTACCACAAGTGCTCCCTGCAAGGGGCAACAATACTACCAAAACTGTCCCCCAGAGAGCAGAAGAGTAAAAAAAAAAAAAGGTGGCAAAAAAAAAAAAGGTTAGATATCTTGGTTCCAATCCTCTGTTGAAATATTTATGAAAAGGAAGAGACTTGTCTTGTTACCTTCAGAGAACAGAAAGATGTAAACAAAATGTTATCAGCTACATGAAAAATTAGGCAAGGGAGTTAAGCAGCATTTTACAGCTATAAGGAGGAAGGGCAGAGACAACTATGCATAAAGAAATATGCTAGAAGAGCATCTGAGAGTTAAAAAAACTTACACTAACTCATTTTGCTTGCTGTTCTGGTTTCCTAGTGCCGCTCTGACAGGAATATACCACAAATGGCATAGCCCTGTCAAACAGGAGTTTATTCTTACAATTTGGAGGCTTTAAGTCTGAGTTAAAAGTGCCAGTCTCTAGGGGCTGGGTGAAAGCCCCTCAACCTTGGACTTCAGCTCTGTCTCCTCCTCCCAGCCCACTAAAGCTGGAGGCTTTTCTTCACTTAGCTGCTGGCTGCCAAGGTTGACAAGTAATAAGGCCCAATGTTACCAAACAACACAGCAGGCCATTAATTCAAGTCCATTAGATGTCCCAAGATCAGCAGAGCATGGCAGGCTGCTGAACAACTCAGCTACATGTAGGGTTCAAGTGGGCCATAAGCTAGAGACCATTCCCCAAGGTTTCTCCTTATGTACAGGAAGCAGAGCACATCCCTAAAGCAGCTGCCCAGCTGCTCAGTAGATTCCACTATGGAGTTGATGACCAGTCTCATCATGGAGAACAGTATATCCAGCTGCCCACCCACTCAACCAGGCCCAGCCAAGTTGACACACAAACTTAACTATCACACTTGCACTGACTGAAATTTTGCTTGACAGTATCACATACTCACTTCACCCAATAATCCTTTCTTTGGTATTCAAGTAGCCACTATGAGTCAAGTATGTTACTATTTGTATAAACACCATACTTTTAAGACTTGAGTACTCAAAGGTCTGAAGTTAGTGGCCTAAGAAGAATCTGAAAATATTAAATATTGCATAAAAATGGTCTAAGTGCTTTTTGTTAAACATACAACACGTCAAATATGATGCAAAGGCCACCTCCAGTACTATGAAGGGAGAAAGCAGCAGCTGCAGAAGTAGCTTTGCCTCTTTTTTTCACTCATACATCCACTAACATCTACTGATCTCCTAGTAAGCTCCTAGCTTGGCCTCATGTAAGAAATAAAGATAGATGACCAAATACAGAACACCAAACATACCAATATATCACACCATAAGAAATACTGAGATAAAAGCTATAAGAATATCATAGTATAATTGGGAGGTCAGAATAGGACACAAACACTTCCCACTGGGTAACTTTGGAAGCTTCATGAAGCCAAAGACTGCTAAACTGGCCCATCAAGCTTGGGCAAGATTTCAGTGAGAGAGATGGAGTACATATTCCAGGGGCACAATCTGCATATATATAAAAGAAAAAAGAGTAATTACATATTTCCTGCATTTTTTTCTATGTTCATCAAAAGTCAGAAATTAGCTTCAACAAGTAAAATAATCCTCAGAGAGTGGTAACGCCTGCAAATTTAAATGTTCTGACCTGACAAATACAATGCAGGGATTTCAATAAGAGTACAGAGTTCTTACACTTAGCAAAACATCTCATGAATTGGCCAATTTCCTGCCTTAGGCTTCCTGCAATGACTCCTGAGATGGTCCCTTAGAGTCCTGGGACCTCTCTATTCCAGAACTTCCTTGCAGCTTCTACATTGCCTCTGTTTCAAATTCTTTGCATCAGCTACCAAATAAGTCCACAGCTCCAAGCTCGCATCACAAATACCCCTTCCATCCATATGAAAAATGAGGCTGCACTTTGGAATAAGGATTCCCTAACTAGTCACTATTTTTTGAAAAATTAGTGCTTACAAGTCCATTTCACCAGCTATTTTGAAGACAAATAATCATAATGCACATCACAGGAAACTAACACTCAAGGCGTTTGCGTGGTTTGCAAAAAAAGGCATTAACGTGCATTATTGCCTAAAAACATAGTAGTTAAAATGCATCTAAGAATCAGTTATCACAGCCAATGCTCAATTTATCAATCAGAAACACAAATTTTTCTTTCTTTTTTTAAAATACCTTTAACTGAACCCATCTCTTACCAGGTGATTTTCGACCATGTATATTTATCTCACAGGGTTGTTGAAAGTTAACTACAATCATGTATGCCAAAGTACAATGTCTGTCAGGCACCTAAGTGTTACCTGCAATGCTGTAGTCTGGGTCCAAGTTGCAGCTGGCTTGCAAGAGCTTCATAAGGCTCTTCTACCTCATACACATTTGCATCAGTGTCCTCCATGCTGCTGGAATGCTGACGTTCAAGCTCTGGAGTTTTCCCTACAACCATACTAAATGACAAGTTCTCATATTCAGGTTCCTCAAAATGTCGCATATTTTCATACTCTGGTTCGCTGGCACTTGTAACAGTCTTGCAAGGGGCTTCAAATGATGACTCCCTGGAGAGCATTTGGTCATCCAAAGACTCGGCTCTAGGACCACTGGCCATGCTGGTCTGGAGACGAGATTTCTTCCTCTTCTTTTGGGATTCCAGGCTGTAGTTATCTGCAGAATGTGCCTTGATGGGTTTATTTCTCTTTTTTTCTATCAACATGCCATGACAATCACTTTCAGTCCTTTTCTGCTCCCCACCACAGAGGTTACCAGTGGGCGTGTCTCCAACTTGGCTGCTCTTGGACCAAAATTTCTGAAAGTCACTCTTCATGAAACTGATGGCCAATTTCATGTTGAGCAACTTCTTAAAAGAGTTTTTCTTTTGAGATTCTTTGCAAGGCTTAGTGCTCCTTTCCACATCCACAGCAGATAGTGACTTTGCTCTTGGCTTGGTTAGGGCAGTTGAGGGCTCACTATCTGAGGATATCTTCACAGACTTTAAGGATTCTGGGTTCCCTGAAAAGGGCAAAATAGGATAAGGTAATTTCCACACTGGCTTTTCTGAAGCCTGTTTAGGCACATCAAAGGAGGATGACAGACCATGGTTTTGGGCACACAAATCCTGAAGGTGATTTCTTTCTAGGCTCTTCCCTGAATTTTTTTCATTTGAGGGATAAGAACTTTTTTCCACAAGCTCCTCTGAGGCAGCCTTTTTGAGCATTCCTGCAGAAGGCAAACTATGTCTTTGAGGCTTTTTGGGGACAATTCTTAAAGAACTTTCATCCTTTATTGTAGATTCCTTTTGCATTTGAGGGGCACACATTCTTGGGTTACCAGTAGTGGACAAATGTTCGTTACAAGTTAGTAGGAGTTGCTTAGGTAGGCTCATAGACAGAGAACTGCATCTTATAAAACTGGTCCCATCATCCATAGCAAGTGACATACTACAGCCATCTGCTGTCTTACTGCCACAACTCAAACTGAAGTCTGTATCTAAAGGAGGTATCATTTGCTCAAAGGAAGAAGTTTCAGGACACACAGTTTTCTGTGAATTGGCTAACCCTTGTCTGTCACAGTCAGAGTCCAAATTCAATTCACTTTTGTTTCCTTTGTCCACCTGTTCCTGGTTACATGAAACATTCTGATGAAGAACACCGATTTTAGTGCTCTTCAAACTGTCCTCAGTAAGACAAAAAGAACCACTGTCTGGATTCTCTGGTTCCATAGTACTTTCACTAGGAATGTCTACATTCTTTTGGCGTATCAGACGAGCACTGAGTGTCTTCCTAGGCTTGGGAGTTGGGAATTTTTTGGCATATGGTTCTAAGTGAATTTGTAAGGGACCATGGTCTTTGACTTCCAACTTCTTACTAACTCCCTCTGAAGATATAAAATTATTCCTTTTACCATTTTCTGGAGCTTCTTGTTCGGATGAATGAAAGTAACTATTGCTTTTCCCAGTACTATCCTGACAAGTTTCAACAATTTGAAATTCATCACTTGGAGGTTGCAGGAGGTGGTAATGATCATGAACTTTCTCAGAGTTGGATGGGGATGGTGACAAATCAGTAAACTCAATTCTGAATTGCTTGTTCGAATTAGAGCCACCATTCATTTCTGGGTTGTCTGTGGAGCTATGCTTCTGCGGTAAGTTAAAAGGTGATGTTCCTTGTGTTAAAACATCACTGAGGCTCTCTTCCAGGATGCTTGCCTTTAAAACTACTCCACTGTGGCTCTTTACCTTTTCACTATGAGAATTATAATTATTATTAGTTTTTATAGTTAAAGAGAACTCATCAATTTCACTCTTTTCTAAATTTTCCAGGGGCTCTAAGACAAGCTGTTTTACACACAAATTCCCTCTAATCCCAAGCTTATGGGTACATTCAGAACTGCAGGAGCATACTGGTAAAATATAATCACTGCTCTGGTTCCCTACATTTTCAGGTCCTTTCTGTTTGTGCTCTTCCAGATTCATAGTGTTTTTCCTTGATAGTGATGGCCTGGTGTCTCGAACAGATGAGTTCTTCAGAACTTTTGGTTTGGGGGCTATTGCTGGCTTGGTGGGGGCTATTGCTGGCTTGGTTTTCTTTGTTGACTGTGAAGCACTAGAAATCACAATGTCAGGTTTAGGAGCAACAGGAGGTGGAGCTGGCTTATTATTTGCCATCACAAACTTTGGCTTGGGGGCCACCGGTGGCTTCTTAATCTCTAGAAAGGAAAATAATAATAATAATTTGATGATGAAATACTCAAAGCACAAGATGGTATATGATTAAATTTTACAACATTTTCACTTTTAACAGTGGCTTAGTTAGCCACTGCTGCTATAACAGAAATACCACAGGTGGATGGCTTCAATAAACAGAAACTTATTTTTCCAGTTTTGGAGGCTAGACGTCTGAATTCAGGGTGCCAGTTCTAGGGACAGGCTTTCTCTGTCTGTCGGCTCTGGGGGAAGGCCCTAGTCTCTTCAGCTTCTATTCCTTGGCAATTTCATGTGGCATGACATTTATCTTCCCTCATCTGTGCTCCCTTCTCTGTCCTAACCAGCTCTTTTTATATCTCAAAAGGTGAATGACTTAAAACACAGCCTACACTAACATGCCATCTTAAAATAACAAACAAACAAACAAAAATTCCAAATGGGATTATAACCAAAGGTATAAAACCAAACCCAAACCCAGGAATCACAACATGTATTTTGGGGGGGACACAATTCAATCCATAACAAAGAATGTGGTGAACTTGCAGTTTACAGGGTAGGCTATGTCATGCTGTTCTGTTAGCTGCCATTGAGTCAGCCCCAACGTATGATGACCTCATGGAACATGACAATGGACCAAACACTGCTCAGTCTTGAACCATCCCTGATTGGTTATGGATTGCACCATTGTGATCCATAGGGTTTTCACTGGCTGATTATCCAGTAGATGGCCAGGCCTTTTTTCCTAGTCTGTCTTAGTCTGAACTCTGCTGAAACCTGTTCAGCATCATAGCAACATGCAAGCATCCACTGGCAGACAGGTGGCTGTGCTGAGGTGCACTGGCCAGGAATCAAATTTGATTCTCTCTCACGGAAGGTGAGAATTCTACCACTGACACACCACTTCCCCTAGGTTACCTTGAATACACTCAATGTCATTCTTGACAATTCCTTAAATTGTCCTTAAATTTCAGTATACATAGCTTTGAGTATTTGTATGTTACAAAGTAAGTGCAATGCAGCTGTTTTTCCTCCAACTTTGCAACAAATCACCATATCTTCAGTTGACACTAAATGAAATAATTGGAAGAGCACTTCAGTTTATCTGCTAAGTAGTGAGAGTTGAATTTGCCTAAACTAACTGTAGGATGTGACTCATTAAGCTTCTCTTATGAATAAGAGTAGTATTATTCTTCTACCCCATGAGATATAATAAGTAGTCCAAAAGCTGTCGGATGTTGATTCTGACTCACAGTGACCCTATAACCCAGCCACCCACTGCCAGTGAGTCGATTCCAACTCATAGCAAGCCAATAGGACAAAGCAGAAATACCCTATGGAGTTTCCACAGCTGTAATGTTTATGGAATCATTCTGCCACATCATTCTTCCTTGAAGCAGTTGGTGGGTTTCAACCACTGGGTTATCAGCCAACTGCTTTAACAACTGTGTGAACCTTTAGAGTTGATTGCCTTTTATCAATCATCTATCAACCTGTGGTATTAAGGTTGTATGTTAACTTGGCCGGGCCTGGTTGAGTGGCTGAGCAGCTGGATATAGATAGTTATTCCCATGGTGAGATTGGTAATTAACTCCATGGTGGAATCTACTGGAGCAGCTGAGTAACTGCTTTAGGGATGTGGCCTGCTTCCAGTATATAAGAAGCAACTCTGAAGAAGGTCTCCAGCTTTTTGCCATTCCTGAACCCTGCTTGTTGCCAAGTCGTTGTTCAGCAGACTGCTATGCCATGCCGATCTTGGGACTTCATCTGGACTTGAATTAGTGGCCTGCCATGTCATTTGGTAACATTGGGACTGTGCCTTTTTATTTGTTGACCATGGGTTTGTCAGCCTCAGCAGCCAGCTGCTGTCTAAATGAAGGAAAGCCTCCAGCTTCAGTGGGCCAGAAGCAGGAGGCAAAGCTGAAACCCACGGAGGAGGGACTTTCACCCAGCCCCCAGAACCTGGCACTTCAAACTCAGACTTAAAGCCTCCAAACTGTAAGAGAATAAATTCCTGTTCGTTAAAGCCATCCCATTTTGGTATTTCTGTTAGAGCGGCATGAGGTAACCAAAACACAACCTCAATAAATCGAACCACAAAACAATCTTAAAAATGGAATACAGAAATCAGAAATCTTATAAACTTTAAGACCAAAAATTAATTCTGCTATATTATTTGAGGCTTATAATGAAGTTGGTTATCAATCAACAACTTTCATCTTAATCCTTCATGGTGCTTTTTTCTTTTCTTTTTTTTAAATCATATGTCCAGACCCTACCCTAGATCTAATCAATCAGAATTTCTGAGGATGGATCCTCAACATCTGCACTTTTATGAAATTCCACCAGTAATTCTGCTGTATACTATTAAACAGTAACAATTTTCCTAGTTTATTTAGAAGATGACCACAATTTCTAGTGTAGAATTTTTCCTCATCATTATATATAAAGTACTGTATTTAATGAACACCTGTTTATATTGTGCCAGAAGGCTAGCGGTTCAGACCCACCAGCCACTCCTCGGAAGGAAGGTTGGGCAATCTACTTCCATAGAGCTACTGCCTCAGAAACCCAAGGAGGGGTCGCTATGAGTCGGGTCTGACTCGACAGCACATAATAACGACAACTGGCCCGTAGGATTCTGAGACTATAACTCTTGAGATACCTCCTTCAAGAGAAGCTATCCCTTATATTTTCTAGCCACTTTGCTGTGGTTAAGGAGCTCTGCTGGTGTAGTGGATAAGGTATTTGGCTGCTAACCACAAGGTCAGCAGTTCAAACCCATTAGCTGCCCTGCAAAAGGAAGATGGGGCTATCTACTTCCGTAAAGATTTACGGCCTTGAAAACCCAATGCGAGTCACTTTGAGTCAAAATTGACTGGATGGCAGTGGGTTTTTTTTGCTTTTTGTCTTTGTTGTGGTTAGCTGCCATATGCCTCACCCCAACCCCAACTCATGGTGACCCTATGCACAATGGAATGAAATGTTGCCCAGTGCCATGCCATCTCCATGACCAGTTGGGGACTAGACCCTTCTGATCCATAGATTGCTTCCTAGTTTGTCTTAGACTGGAAGCTCCACTGAATCTGTTCAGCATCATAGCAACATGCAAGCCTTCACTGGCAGACAGTTGGGTACTGGCTGTGCGTGAGGTGCGCTGGCTGAAACCTTGCAACAGCTTTACCCAAGATGACTGTAAAATAAAAAGGTTCTTCCATCTACACTGTCATTTATCACCCACTCTTACTTTCCAAGGAGACTTGAGGTGGAAAAATGTTTTATTTATACGTCTTATAATTATGTTTGCTCTTCCAACAGGATCTAGGCTGAATAAAAATTAATTTACTGAAAAAGATAAAAAATAACAAACTTTCCAAAATATCTGCTGAAAAGGACTGCTGAACACTGTTTAATTACTTGAATACAAAGAAGTGTTAATATTTCACCTGATAGGGATTTTCTTTTCAACAAAGGAAATTAGTCACAAGCTCAGGAAGATATTACACGGAACTGAGCTAAAAAAAATAAGAGTAGGGTGCTCTACTTCCCTTTATCTGTCAAGGAAGAATTTCCTGACCCCCTAGTACTATGCATACAACCAAGACTATATGTCAGCAGAAGTCTTTTTGCTCAATTTCTGGATAGAATATTATCATAAATAAAGACAATGAAAACTGTGTGAGCCAGAATTCGACCAGACTGCCTTGTTTTTCTGGATCTTGCAAGTTTTCCATTTTCTTTTGAAAGGCTGAAATCTTAACACTTATCTATCTATCACTCCTTTTAATGGAAAATATTTGAGCTTGCTTTCCCTGATAGATTTCCATCTTACACAGGTTCTGGATTTTGCAAGTTTTATTGTTTTTTCAAAATAATTTAATACATACATACAATTTCACTTAGCTGCTCAATAAGAATATAAGCACATTATTAAAGGTTTGGGTTTTTTTTTCCTTTTTAAGGTAGGGGAAAAAATTATAAATCCTTCAAAGCCTAGTAATATAGTTTGGTATTATGGTCTATCAAATTAAGCTGTAATTTATTAGGTCAAGTCTTAAGAGAGAGAATGATTGCCCTAGGCTTCTGCCCTCTCCCCCAGCTTACTAAAGATAATGAAAACTGACACATTGTCATGTTGATTTTACTTCTATAACCATCTTCAAAACATTCTACCTTTGAAATTTTTGCAGGAATTTAAATAAACAAAAAACAAAACCACCTCTCATCAGATTAATCTTTTTACTTTCTGAATGTTATGGTTTTGTCAGAGCTTCAGGGTTATTTAATTGAACAATTTTTGATTCTTAATTAAATACGTAATTTTTAAATTTCTAGTACCAACTTTACCTTTTTCTTTAAATGTGTTTTATACTTAAAGCTGCTTCCAAAAGACAAATCCCTATTCTCTTTAAGTGTGTTAGCAATTCACTTGACTACGTATCAGTACTGAACTGGTGTAGATTTCAAATAAGTATATTGTGTTGTTGTTAGGTGCTATCAAGTCAGTTCTGACTCACAGAGACCCACATACAATAGAATAAAACACTGCTGCACCATCCTTACGATCATTGCTATAGTTGAACCCATCATCGCAGCCACTGTTGATGAGGGTCTTCCCCTTTTCTACTGACCCTCTATTTTACCAAGCATAATATCCTTCTCTAGGGACCGGTCCCTTCTGATAACATAACCAAAGTACGAGAGACAACTTCTGACCATTCTTGCTTCTAAGGAGCATTCCAGCTCCTAAAGCCCCCATTACTTACTCACTGAGTTAACTTGGGTTTACCATTAGAAGTTAACTATATATTGGACAAAACCAATAACATAAGTGCAGGGCAGGGGGGGCTAACCAAATTATGTGCCTTTATGGCAGATTTCACTGCTTCATTTCCCTTACTTGTAAACGGGAGAGTTAGATCACCTCTAAAGCCCATATGATTTCTGAGCTATACCCCTTGAAGCTATCCTTTATATTCTCTAGCCACATTGTTGTTGTGAGCAACTCACGCACAATGGAACGAAATGCTTCCTAGTCCTGTGCCATATCCATGAGCAGTTAGGGACTGGACTCTTGTGATGCATAGGTTTCTTCCCAGTTTGTCGTAATCTGGAAGCTCTACTGAATCTGTTCAACATTATAGCAACAAGCCCCCACTGATGGACAGGTATGGCTGTGCGTAAGGTGCATCGGCTGGGAATCAAACAGGATCTCCCACATGGAAGGAGAGAATTCTACCACTGAACCACCAATGACTCATTCTAGCTAGCCACCTTATGTTATTATCTTCAGCACGTCTCTGCATTTTCCTCCAGCATATGTCTCCACCACTAGAAGATAAGACAAGCTCCAGGAGTGCAGACATTTTGTTGGTTTCATTCATTGATGTATCCATGTCCTGAAAACAGGGCCTGGGAATAGCCAGAGCTGCCACATGTAACAGGAAATTTCTTTAAAAAAAAATCAGTACCCATTTCAGTGTAGAACAATATTATGAAAAGTTATCAGGAATCACCTTCAAAAGGATTATTTGAATAAACCCTTAAGTCTTAATGAGAGCAAGGGTTCAACCAAGTTATGGTCCTGCAATATCAGAAATCCTCTTTCTTTTAGTTTCAAAGAAGCATAATTCAAAAAATAACAAGCCATTATATTACAGTCTGCTCCAATGTCAAAGTCTTGAAATAAATGCATGATGTTTGGAAATGAATCCAGCACCTCTGGATCTTAATACTGTATCAACAGTCAGACCCAAAGTTTCTTAGAGTAAAGCAGAAAATCTTTTATTTACACAGCTGTTTGGCTCCAGGGAAAAATAAGGTAAGAAACCGAAGTACTAGTACCATTTTATTATTACAAACATAATCGTCATCTATTATACACAGGTGGCTGTGGTTCACGTGCAAACCCTCTCAGCTATTGGACCATCTCCAAATTAATAAAAAAAAGTGACCTACCTGTACATGCTGAAAAAGAAATAAAATGTACACCTATCACTGTCTCTCCTTTTTCATATACTGCTTAGAATAACTCTAAAATCTCTATTAAAGACCTAAGCTTTCATAGATGCAGAAGAGGAAAAAAAAAAAAAACACACAGCTAACTCTTCTTCAGGATACTTTAAACTCAGACAACCCCAGTTCTCTTCCACATACCCCATAGAGACATGAGGAAGAACACTAAAAACGCTAATAAATCTTAACAGATGGGTGAACCAAAAAAAAGCTGTTAAGGCTTCCAAGCGAGCCATGCTAAAAACCAACTAACTCAGCTAAACACAGGAAGTATCCCTCTTTAAAACACCACAAAAATGTCTGTGGTGTTCTTTAATTCTAAAGTTGATAAAATATAAAAAATAGTTTGCATTATTCTAGAATAATTCAAATGATAAAATCATAAACTTCCAAAGTAGGCCCTAGAAATCAGCTTTACATATTTAAAAGTCAAATTAAGTGCTTCTATACCTGTTCATTATAAAATGTTAAGACTGGAATTGAAAACTGATACATAAAAGGAATGAATATTTTAAATTCACTTGACTCTCAAAAAAGGGAGAACTGACTGCAAGGCTTTTAAAATTTCCAACCACTTTAAATCCAAATTCCTTACACTGATTCAGCCAGAAAGAAAATTTGAACAAAGGTGAGGCACAGAAATTTAGGATGAAAATAATTCACCTTAACTCAGTAGAAAGCCACCCTTTGTTACCAAAAAGAGTGTTTATAAATAACTTCAATGGTGTATGACATACACACATACAGGATCAAAAAGGAAAGATCCACAACATCTACAGAAAACATTTCACCCCTTGCTTCCCTATTGGCTAACTTCTTGCCTTGTTAATTGTAATCTGATCGCACCTAGCAATGTAACACTCAAAGTATAACTGTTGTTGTTGTTGTTATGTGCCGTCGAGTCAAACCCGACTCATAGCGACCCCTCCTTGGGTTTCCAAGGCAGTATCACTACGGAAGTAGGATTGCCCAACCTTCCTTCCGAGGAGTGGCTGGTGGGTTTGAACCGCCAGCCGTTAGCCACTGTGCTACCAGAGCTCCCCAAAGTATACCTAGGCTTTAGAAATAATACAAATCAGAACAATTAGAGTGCTATTTGACAGTTTCAAGTTGCAGGAAATTTAAACAAATGCCAGGAAAAGCAAAGAAAATTTAATCTGATACTTAAGTGCTGCTTCTAGAAGTAACTTTGAGAAGCTTTAAACTATTTTCTAATTAAAGTTTAGGAGCTTTGGTAGCATAGTGCGTAAGGCACTTAACTGCTAACCAGAAGGCTGGTAGTTCAAACCCACCAGGCACTCCTCGGAAGTGAAGGTTGGGCAATCTACTTCCCCAGTAGAGATACTGCCTTGGAAACCCAAGGAGGGCTCACTATGAGTCGGGTCCGACTCGAGGGCACATAACAACAACAACAATGAAAGTTTATTCCCTTCAACACGAACAAAAACATTTTAAAAACTTAACACATTAAGTTCTGGTTTGAAAATTAACCTATATTTTTATATAATGAATTGAACATCATTTTCGAAATCATTTTCGAAATCATTTTCGAAAATTAGAAGTGTTCCTTAAAAATGTCCAGAATTGCTCAAAATCCACACAAAGGTATTTGGACAAGGGGAAAGGGCTGTGAGAGCCAGACAGAAAATAGGGCTTTGTTTACACAAACCAAGTATAAGTTAAAGAAATCCATATGAAATTGAGTGAAGATGAGTAAACAACAGCTATCTGCAATCCTATTACTGTTTCTCACCTAACAGGGGTAAAACCACCAGAACATGAATAACAATGTCTAAATGACTATGGAATAAGGGGATAAAGGTTTCCAGTCGACACTGTATTTGAAGCGACTTGCATAGAGTCACTGAGTTCAACACGCTGCGAGCATGTACTCTTTCGTAGAATAACTGATTTCTTAAAATGGGAATCTAAACTATTTTCACACGCAAAGGCAAAGTCGCTCAAATTTTAGGAGAGAGGAGCAAATGCCTTCTACATTTCGTGTTTCACCTGGCGGAACAACAACAACAAAAAGGAGCCCCCAGGAGATACACGAATTTCCAGAAGCAGCGCCTCTTGGCAGGAAAGGACGAGCAAATCCGGCAGCAAACTCCATCCGTTCAGCATTAGCCTAAGTCCTCTGGAAAGGCAGAAGACAGATAGAGACACACAACTCAATCACCCAGAGGAGAAAGTTAACTCTACAGCCGAAGACAAGCAATGTTCCTTAGAAACTTTCCAGCGGCAGTACGAGCGCCGTCACTTACCGGCGGCAGAAGTCATGATTCCCTCTTGCAGCTCGCTTCCCGGCTCGCCCCCTTCAATCCATGTTCACCTTTTGGTCCGTTGTTTGAAGTGTTAGAGAAGAAGAGAAAAGCCTTTGCAGCGCTCACTTTCCGTCCCGCCGGCCCCGCACAAAGGATGCGGCCGGCTCCAGGAACCCAGCAGCGCTCCCGGGCGCGAGCCGCCAGCAGCAGGCGTGCATGCACGAGCGCCGTCCCACTGAGCTCCGGGCGGACGGCGCGGCACGGACACGAGCTGCGCGTACCGCGACTTCGCCGGCGCGTGCCCCTCTCGGACTCTGAAAAAAAATCAGTGCTCCAAGCGCCCCCTGCTAGTCGCGGCGGTAAAAGGCACACAAAAGCCCAAACCACCTCCAATCAGAGAGCTTGAACTTCACTCTTCTCCCGCCCCTTTTGCTCACACACTCACCCTCTGAGCTAATAAGCTCGTAGGAAAAGGGGGCGTGAGCTGCGAGGCATGCTAGGAACTGTAGTTTTCTGGACTCACGGCACGGGCAGGCGCCTATGCGTTGGTGCTGTATGTTCTCCCGCCTTCATTTCCCATCGTGCTGAGACGGGTGGCATGGCGGAGAAGGATGACACCGGACTTTGACGAAGAGGTGGTTTTTGAGGTAAGGGAAAAATGGCGGTGGGTGTGGATTGCCTTTGTTTGAGAAGAAGGACTACAGGGAAAGCGAGAAGGCAAAGCGTGGGGCTAAACCAGGGAAGAGAGGGCGGATGACGCGCTCCCACCGGCCTTGACCACCGACCCCCGGGGGTTTCGAGGCCTAGCATTGGGCGCCGCCTGACAGGTGTAACCCGCAGCGCCCTGGCCTTGGCTGGCCTCTGCCCCAGGCCCGCCCAGAATCCCCGAGCCACTCGGGAATTGCGGACTTGCCAGCGCCCGTGGGCAGGAGCCCCATCCACCCGTTTCCCAGGGAATGGGTGCGCCGCGGGGGGACTGCCTAGCTGGGGCGGGACCGAATCGTGCATTTTGGATGTCCGCTGGTACTACTTAGTCTCCTTTTTCTTCCCCGATTTTTTGGGTCAGTAGCCAGAAGTGCCTCGGGTTACGGTTCACCACTGAGGCGTGGCCCGCGGAATGACGGCAGCAGGTGCCAGTTTTCTAAATAGGATTGAAATCTTTGTGTAGGAATCTACTGTGGTGGTTTGGGCCAGAACATCGCAGCATCTAGATTCAAGTCTTTTGTCCTTTGCTGTTAAGCTAGGTGTAGCCAGTTCTTCCAACTCGAGGCTCTGAATGTGAGTGCTTTTGTGTGGGATTATTTTAAGGCGTCTCTGCCATCTTGAAGAAAAAAACAGCAGACCTCTATGTATGCTCTGCATATATGTGCTTTACATTCATTCATCCAACTGGATTTTAAGAAATTGAAAGCAAAATGACCCATGCCATACAATGAGAAGTCTGAGCATTAACAGAAAATTACAGTACAGAATGATAAATGTTGAAAGATATGCAAACTGTCATTTGAGGAGCAATTTGGGAACTACTCCATTCTTGCGGCATCCAAGAAGCTACACTCAGCAAACAGTACCGGAGGTGAATCTTGAACTATATGAGATTAGAAAGATGAAAGGGGGAGAATGCATTACTGAAGAAAAGCTAAGTACATATTCCAAGGTTGAGAGGCGTGAAAGTACCTAGTGTGGTTTTCCGCGAAGGGTTGGGTGGAACCCAGGAGGTTAAGCACTCCATCGGAACCGAAACCTAAGGTAGGCATTTCGAACCCACCTGCAGCTCCGCAGAAGAAAGATGTGACAGTCTGCTTCCATAAAGATTACAGACTTGGAAACCCTGTGGGGAAGTTCTGCTCTGTCGTATAGGGTCGCTACGAGTCAGTTAGAATCAGCTCTATAGCAGTGGGTTTGGTTTTGAGGTAGGGGAGGTTCTTTATAGTAAGTGGTTTGATGTAGGTGAAATATAGAGGTAGTGGAAGATGTGGCCATTTTACTGAAATGAAGAGACTGGATGCCGGAAGCTCACTAGGGAAGACTAGGATCAGAGTTGTGGAAATGAGAGAAGAAATAATGGAATAATCGCTTGGACAGACATTTCTAAGGTAAAATTGAGGAAACAGTTACAGATTGAACATGGGATTTAAGGAGACACAGAACTCTGGGAGACTAGAAATCCCTTAGTTAGGGAAACTGAGTAGCTGTCTTTTTACCTTATTATTTTCTTTATTTTTTGAATGTAATAGTAATACATGCCCAAAGAGCATTTTATTTGAGAAAATAAGCCAAAAATGTAAGCTCACCCATTAGTATACCAACCAAAGATGGCCACTTACAGACTTTTCTATGCAGATTTTAAGTGTATCTTTTTAAAACAAAAATATCAAAGCACATAAAATTTGGTATCCTCTGTTTTTCACTTTATCATGTCTTTTCCCCATTTTCACACTTATTACTATAATAATATAATATACTGTTATGTCTGTGTCATGATATAACCATTTTCCCATTATTAGTTAAATAGATTATTTCAGAATTTTCACCATTGTAATCAACACTAACTCCATCTTTAACTGTAACTCTGATTTTTCCTTAAAATAATTTCTAGAAATGGAGCCAGATGATCAAAGAATATAAACATTTTTTTAAGGCTTATGACACTGCCAAATTATTCAGAAAGCTTATACCAACTCACATTTCATCAGGAATAGAGTGTTAGTTTTACCAATCCTCACCAACAGTCTTAAAGTTTCCTTTAATCTTTGCTAATTTAATAGGCAAACATTGTAGTTCATTGTTCTGTTTTACATTTTGTGCATTTAAATGTTTAGTGGTGATTTTTATTTATTTACGTGAACATCCTCTATGTATTTCTGACCATTTTCCTATTGGATACTAGCTTTTTAAAAATTGAGTTGCGTGAATTCTTTTTATAAACTTCACTACATTTTTTATACATGTAAAAAAAATTTTCCCAATTTACTGTCCTAATTTATTTGCTTTTTTATCATATATACTATTTATTGCAGTATCATATACAGTAAGGTGCACAAATCATAAGTGTGCAGATTGATGGATTTTCACACATTGAACACACCCTTGTAACCTGCACCCAAATCAAGAAACAGATCAACAGCACAATATAAGCTTCCTCCTGCTCCCTTCCAGTCACTGTTCCCTGCTCTTGCCCTCCCCAAAAGATAACCACTATTTAGATTTTTAATAGCCTAGATTCATTTTGTCTGGTTTTATAGTTTATATACTGTGTGATTCCATTTTTATGCTCTTTTGTTTCTGGCTTTTTTTTTTTTTTCTCTCAATATTATATTTTTGAGATTCATCCATACTCTATCACATGAACATTTTTATTTCTGTATTGAATTCCATGTGAATATATGACAATTTTTTAATCCGTTTTACTATTGATGGTCATTAGGTAGTTTCTAGTGCTACTGTAAACACTTTAGCATATGTGTTTTGTTGCACACATTTCTATTGGAAATGGATCTGCTGGGTAATAGGAAATGCACATTTTAACCTTGGATTGATTCTGGTAGACATTGCCAAGCATTAGTCCATGGTGATGTACTCCTAGCAGCAGTGCCTCAGAGGTACTGTTGCTCCATAGCCTCACTAATACCTGCTATAATACCAGTCTTTTTCAATTTATCTTTCTGGTGGGTGTGTACTGATATTTCTTCAGTGGTTTTAACTTGAATTTCCCTGATGAAGAAGTTGAGAGTACTTTTATATGTTTATTGGTCAATTATATATCCACTTTGGTGAAACCTGTTCACATTTCTTGACTATTTTTTGTATTGGGTTCCCTCTTTTTCTTACTAATCTTTTAGAGTTCTTCACATGTACTAGATGCAAGTCATTTGTTGTATATGTCATTCTTGTGCGCCATTGAGTGGATTCTGATTCACAGTGACCACATATACTCCAAAACGAAGCACTGCCTGGTCCTGCACCATGCTCACAATAGTTGCTATGTTTGAGCCCATTGTTGCAGCCACTGTGTCCGTCCATCTCATTGAAGGTTGTCTTCTTTTTCTCTGACCCTCTACTTTACCAAACATGATTTCCTTGTCCAGAGACTGGTCCCTTCTTGATAACATGTCCAAAGTGAGACTAACTCTTGCCATCAGTGCTCTCTTCTAAGAAAGATTCTGGCTGTACTTCTTCCAAGACAGATTTGTTCATACTTCTGGCAGTCCATAGTATATTCAATATTCTTTGCCAACGCCATAATTCAAATGCATCCATTCTTCTTCCGTCTTACTTATTCATTATCCGGCTTTCACATGATAGGAGGCAATTGAAAATACCAGGTGCACCTTAGTCCTCAAAGTGGCATCTGTGCTTTTTTAAACACTTTAGAAAGGTCTTTTATGGCAGATTTGCCCAATGCAGTATGTCATTTAATTACTTGACTCCTGCTTCCATGAGTTTGATTGTATATCCACGTAAAATAAAATCCTTGACAACTTCAATATTTTCAGTATCTCCTCTGACTCATAATGACCCTATCTGACTTGCTCCATAGGTTTCCTAAGCTGTAATCTTTTTGAGAAGGAACTCTAGTGGTGCAGTGGTTAAATGCTCAGCTGCTAGCCAAAAGGTCAGCAGTTGGGACATTCTTCTGTAACGATTATAGTCTTAGAAACCCTATGTGGCGATTCTACTCTATCCTATAAGGTCACTATGTGTCAGAATTGACTTGGCAGTGGGTTTGGAATCTTTACAGGAGCAGATTGCCAAGTCTTTTCTACCACACTGCAGCTAGTAGGTTTGAACTTCCAACCAGTTAGCCATTGTACCACCAGGGCTCCTTATGTATATAGAATATGTTATCTCTCTGTTGCTTTTGCATTCTCTTAATGGTCTTTCAGGAGCTCTGGTAGCATAGTGCCTAAGGCACTTGACTGCTAACCAGAAGGCTGGCGGTTCAAACCCACCAGCCACTTCTCGGAAGGAAGGTTGGGCAATCCTACTTCCGTAGTGATACTGCCTCGGAAACCC